ACAAGATGTGGAATCCACGTGGCGGGAGGTTGGGGTTTAGATTGAGCACGCTACTGAAGACGGGATTCAATCAGGTGTTCACAACACGTTGTGAGGTTGTTGAAACTGTGGCTTGCGGAGGCATGTGGAACAATACTCCCACGACACGACATACAAGGGGCCATGATGAGCTACTGCATGTGAAACTCGTCTCCGTGTTCGTGTGATCGTTGTTGTGATTTTTGTGATTACCACCACTATGCCTTGGGTACTGTTGCCACTCAGTAACATATAATCTTTACAATGCAGATATATTAGGCCCTTAATGGTAGCCCTATTATAGACTGTTACTGAAGGGGGGCAGTACCCAAACTACACCCACTATGAGTATTGATTCCTGAACGTTTGAGGCATAGATTTCAGGGGCCAGCCTCTGTCGACTGCCTTCCACCCGCTCCCGAAGCGCGCAGGTCGTTGTACAGTGAATATTTCGGGGTCCCAAATTTCGAAAGGCAAGTGCTTGGCGTTCTTCTGGTTGGCTCTTACGACTAACTTCTTCGGTCTCTGTATGAACTATAACAAGGAGGCTCAAAGCTTAACTTTTCGGAAGGGTTCAGAAGTCGGCCCAAGAATAACCACGAGGATCTTATGCTCGCGGTACTGTAACTTGTTTCTTACGCTCCAAAACGCCGGGGATGCTCTCAGAGCTTTGCTCAAGCAGATTGAAAGTACATGAACGTACCGTTCATGGGCCCTCCAATCTTCTTTATGCCTTAATTATGCTCTCAGAAGGAGCCCCAAACAGCATCTAAAATTCAACTTTTCAGGTCACCTCCCTCCAAGAAGTTTAAGCCCGAAGTCACACGAGAGGCCCAACCTAGTGGCAAAAGGTCTTTGTGTGTGCTGGACCCGTATTTGCCTTTCGAGCAGCTTGGGTCGGCCCTCAAGGGGCAAACATCGGAGAACGGAGGATCGCACAGCTATCGGCCTTGCCACCCTTCGGCTCCATGCACTTATACAGCATTTGCTTGGTGGCTCAGCGTGATTTGAAGCTTCTCTAAACCCTAAACCTCTAAATTCTACGCCCTTAAGCCCCAAACTCTGAGCCTATGGAGCCTTAGGGCCAGCTTCCGCCGGCGGCTCCCAGGAATGCCGAAGACGCGATCTCAAGCCATGTGCAGCGACGAGAAGAGAAGGGGGACTTCTGGAACCCTGGGGTTTTGGGTATGGGGTTTATCCAGAGGCTCCATAGTAGTTCCTTTTTGGGATTACCTTATAGGGTTCTAAATAAGAACACCAAAAAGGAACTACTTACTATGGAGCTTATGGGTATAGGGTTTGAAGAACCAGTATGACGAGAACGATTTCAAAATGCATGCTTAATGGCTTTTTGGTTTCTTTCTGATTCCCGTAGCACTCTCCTTCTCAAGAACTCGGAAATCAAAAACACATTCTTTCAAGACCTTCGGGTTCAGTTTTTGTGAATTTGCAGGACACATGCCGGGTTTGACAGAGCTGTTGAGATTGTTAGGAATCACTGAACTTTTGTGAATAGGTTGTATCGAAAGGACCCCACGTAATCCAATATGGGACGGAGTACAATATTGCGAACTTCCACCAGAAATTAATTTGGCTCGCGAGCAGCCTAGAAACTCGAAAGCAACCCAAGAACCTGCTGAACAAGATTAAAAAAGGGGCCTAAATCATTACCTATACTATTGTGGTGGTTCCTTACTATAATTATAGTATAATGGGCCCCAAAACCCGTTTCTAATTATTAAGGTCTCTATATGTTACACTATTTCCGAGCAACGCAGACGTGGTAACGCCTGAGTTAATCCTGACATGGACGCCTGAATCATTACCAATACTATCCCTTCTGGTTCTTGCATAAGTGCAGCTTGATAAACTGCCGAAGCCCTGTTCGTTCATACTGTAAGAACCTGATTAAGAAACCCTGGGCCTTTAATAGGGTTCCTTTTATGAATCCTACTATTTCGGGGGTTATAGGGCCAGGGTTTCTTAATCAGGTTCCTACATTCATGTCCTAATGTGGAGGCCCTACATTATAACCCCAAATAACCTACCTGTCTATGGTTCTTTAATATGATTTCTTTTTAGAAAAAGCCGTATATCTATATAAAACCTTAAGGTAGGTTATTTTGGGGTCAAGGTACTAATGCTTTCTTCATATGATGTCCTTTGGTCCTTTTTATATGTTATCCCACATAGCCCGGTCAGGTGTCGGGTGCTTGGAGGCGGATCGCCCGGCCGAGCTCCCGAGTCAGAGAGTTTGAATTTAGGGGCTTAGGGTTTAGGGTATAGGGTTTTGGAGGTTTAGGGTATAGGGTTTAGGGGTTAAGGGTTTGAGGCATAGAGTTATGGTTTGTAGGCATGTTTGAGGTTTAGACGAATCCGATTACGTATGAACCCTGATAGCAGGCATGCAAGCCTTTTTGTTGATCTTCTCCCCTATGTGCTCATCAAATTGTCCATGGATGTGTTATGGAATCAGGGATCTCCTAAAGCCTAAACCCTAAACCCCTAAACCCTAAACCCTAAACCCCTAAACCCTAAACCCTAAACCCTAAGCACCAATCCGGATTCAGGCTGACGGGCCACTGAGATCGAGTTCCCATCGTTGGAAGCGTTCTTTGTGCCTCCAATTGCTGGTGTCTGTTAGCCTTTGTCATCAATCTCACCCCGTTTTGCCGACCAGCAAAGTTCAGCAAGGTATGGGTATAGACCCCCAAAGACCTGGATATGCAATAAGTAAGCAAGTCCTCAAGATCATGAAGGACCATCTCACAGCAGTTCACGTGGCCACTTCGCTTCGGCTGGCTGTTACTTCAGCTCGTCGTGGGAAGTCCTGGGCCTCCACGGCCAAAGCAGCAAAATTCAAAGCCTTCAGCGCCCGAAACCCCGGGTTTTGTGAAAGCAGTGCCCCGGAACCCCCCCCCACACCCCGAGTGTAGGAGGCAAAAAAGACCCCCATGCGCCCAGAGCCGCACTCTGAAAACGAAGCCCGAAGACTTGCCCTAAACCCTAGACCCTAAACCCTGAACCCTCGGCCCTAAACCCTAGACCCTATAAACCCTAAACCCTCGGCCTACACCCTAGACCCTAAACCCCTAAACCCTAAAGGTTTAGGGTTTAAGGGTTTAGGGTCAGGGGCTCAGGTTGCAAGCAACCGTTTTTCGCCTGGCCATCTTCCAGGCCAGACACATCGGGTTTTGGGTTTAGGGTGTTGGGTTTAGGGTTTAGGGTTCAGGGCTTTAGATCGCCTTTGCCGGCGCCGTCGGTTGTGCAGGTTTGGGTATGCTGTGAAGGCATTTATGGGGGGTTGTTAAAGCTCTGAGCCCTAAACCCTATATCCTTTAACCGTCAAAGCTTTAGGAGGAACTAGGACTGAGCTTTCCATTCAACTCGGACGGCCCCCGGATCCAGGGAGGACATTGGGGCCGGTGTTGTTAGGGCTTGTGGTTTTGTCTGTTTCTCTGTCTTTCGAGTGCCTTTTGGGTTCAAGCTTCGCAGCACAGGCGCGGCCGCCGGTCATGGTGGTGTGCACACATATAGCTCCTGCAGATACTTGTCTGGTGCTGGAGGTGTGTACGAAAGAAGATGAACACTTGGACAAATAGAGCTTAATATGAGCTGAATCCAACTTTCAAGCCGCAACCCGCATATTAGCGCTAGACACGCATGTCGAGCGCGTGAATCGGAAGTCGTCGGCCACAAGTGCCGCGATCGCCACAGAGAGCGCCAGAGCGGCTTGCCCAGAAGTTGACAACGAAGTTTCATTTCTTTCGAGCAGGGCATGACTTGGCTGGGGTGGACTGCGATCCATTCAAGAATGCAAGCTCTAAACCCTAATCCCTAAAGTCTTATCCCTGGACCCTTCAAGACTCCAGGCCAGAAGAGTATACCAAACTCGCAGCCCTCAGGAGCATCGAACTACTGATATCGAGGCGGTACCTCAGCTTCTTATGCCTTAGGTTAGGTGGGGTTTGCGGTTTAGAGCTCCATTTCATCGTGGCTATATGGGTGTGTTGGTCTCTTGCGTGTTTTTGGCGGTAAGTGTGTGACACGACTTTCCCTGTGGTGCAGAGCACTCGATTCGGAATGGAAGAATCAGTCTGAAAGATGGCCACTGCTTCGTGTTTGATAGGGGTTGGACATGCCCACCACACCTGGTCAGAATCTGCCATGCATCTGCTGCACTGTTTATTCCGTGTGAGGAAGACTGGACTACAAGTAGTCCCTTTTCGGGTCCTTAATATCATACAACACCTAATATTTAGGGTGCCCAAAAAGGAGCCATAACTTCGACAACCATCCACGCTAGTGGCAGCAAGGGATGATCACTGCGGCCTTTTGTCGAAGTTCATGTCTTGCGCTGGCCTTCAGACCTAGGAGCTCGAAGAGCCCTCGGCCCTATAGGCCCCATAGTAGTTCCTTTTTGGGGGGTCATAGATAGAAGGTCCATATATAGAATCCTATAAGGTAGTCCCAAAAAGGAACTACTATGGATGGGGTTCATATATAGAATCCTATAAGGAATTCCAAGGCTGACGTGGGGTTTAGGGTTTATGCATGCATCTATTGCGGACTGTCCGAAGCAACCACCTGAGGCCTGACTACGTACAACACAGGATTTAGGGGTTAGGGTTTAGAGTGTAGGGTTTAGGGTGTTGATGTGTTTGTGCGCGTGCGTTTGTGTGTGTGTGTGTGTGTGTGTGTGTGTTCGTGTGTTCGTGTGTGAGCGTACGTTGGCTTTTCCTTGTTTCTTAGCAGCAACACTGTTCCCTTATAGTCCCTATCATATAATCGCAGATTATCACACTCAAAACCCTTGTTCCAATTATTAAGGCCTCCGAAAATCGAGGACCCTAATATAGTACCCTAAAAAGGAGGATCGTCATTACAAGGACCCTAGAATAGGGTACCCCTAACTTCCGGAAACTCCCACATTGCTTGGCTTTTCGTGGCGGGCTTGCCAAGGCACCACTCCAAGTCGAGAAATGGACGACGATGGTTTGGTGCTTTATGCGGTTTTCGAGGAGGACGAGGCTCAGGGCCGTAATTTGGGGTTTACTATGCTAGTTTGGGGTTCCTTGTTGTGACAATTTTGTCTAATGGGCCCCAAAACATTATTCTAGTCATTAAGGCCCCTAAATAACGGTGCAGGGTTTAGAGTTGAGGGTAGAATAGTATAATTAGGGTTCAGGGTTCTGGGTTTCGAGTTTCAGGTTTACCGAACCGAATTCCCATATTATCCTTCCTTAGGGGTTCCTAGTATTTGTGTACCTCCAAATCCTACTCTTAGGACCCTTGCATTGCAGTAGCCCCGAATTTCGTCAGAATGCGAGTTGCGAACGAGGCTACTGCTTCACTTACTACCTGTACCCTAAACCCTAAACCCATCCAGGGAGCCTCAAACCAGGCGCTGTTACACAAACGGCACGAGGTGATGCTATTAATTACACCTGGGGCAATTCCACAGTTTTCTGTTAGTTTGGTGGCTTGCACATGTGACTTTCCGAAGGGCTCCGAATCTCAGGCGCGACCAACGGTTGAGGCTATTAGCCGCTCATGTTCCATACACTCCGGCACCAGGAGTAACAGCGAATATGAGAGGACGACATGCAATCTCAAACCTCACTGGGAGTATGTACTGCAAGCCCTTCTCTTTGACTTGCCACTCACGCCAAGCATGTGTCTTCCGAAACACCGACGGAGACCTTGAGATCTCATCTGGCATCCTCGAGTTGTGAGAGCGTAGATTAATGGGAGTGTCTAAGAGGCCCTGGTAATTAGATCCCAAATCCCAGGATCCTTCTTGTCAGGACTTCTCAAAATTCCTCGCCTTCTACAAGCGCTGAAGCCCCGGAACCCCTAAGCTCCCCAAACCTAAAGCCCGGAACTTGCGAAGACGTGTGGCCATACTTGAAGGATCAGAATCATGAGACTTATAGTAACTAGGGTTATTATTGGGGTAGCTGTACTTAAAATAACTTATAACTTATAACCCAACTAAGGGACTTATAACTATAGTTACTAGGATGCCCAGTAGTACCCTTATTCCCTTTATGTAGTCCTAGGTTCCTTATAAAGTTACCCAATACCAAAGAGAGAGGCCTTTTTATTCTTAGGTTACTGGGTATCCTAGGTTACTAAGTCCCATGACCCTCCAAGTACGCACATAGCAGGCTGAGCTCCGTGCAGCGCATGCCGAAGGCTCTGCCCCGACATGGCTTTGGTCTACCCAGAGACTCCAATATCCCTTAATTAAGGAATATTCCTTAAATCATATTAGGGATCCTACTATACTTTGAGGTATATTCCTTAATTAAGGGGTATTGGAGTCTCTGGGTATGGCCCGGGTTCGTCAGGGCTTAGGGGTTCGGAATTTGGGAATTCCCGTAGGGCCCATAGTAGTTCCTTTTTGGGATTATAGGATTCTACATATGAACCCCCAGAATGGAACTACAATGGGGGCCTTAGAGCATAGAGTTCCTGATGGGTGGAACGAGCGCTTGAAGCGACCGGCATAAGTTTCAGGAGTTTCGAGGGTTTGCAGGGTTCGTCTCTGCTTGGCCGCACCTTCGATCTCCCTACACGGGGGTTTCCGAAGATAAGGCGTACCTTATTTTGGTGGTCTTGTACTAAGGATTCTACTATGTAGGGTACTATATTCGGGTCCCCTATTTTCGAAACTCCTAAATTTCCTAAATCGTACAATCCAGCAGGGGTTCAGATTTCTGGCTTTGCAGGCGTGGCACTGCAGGCCGCAGACGCAAGAGGCTGGACGCCCGTGCTGCACGCCGCCTTCGCCGGCAAAGTCCAGTCCCTTAGGATCCGTGCCACAATAGCGGTTGCAGTGCAACACATACACATTAAGAGCAACAATGGCACTGCCATTTAGTATATAAGGTACCAGCACATTTTTTCCCTTTTTGCTGGTAGGTCAAGCGTTCTTAGGCAGGCGGAGTATGTTTTCTGCTTGAATGTTGTTTATACGCAATTTGAACCCACAACAGTAGGTTTTAAAGTCCTATATAAGCCCAGCCGCCACAACCCCTACCGCGAGGATTCTGATGGAGCTTTTGGGCCTGGCAGCTTTGGACGCCCGCACCCCCGATGGGAGCTCAGCGATTCACTTGGCTGCAAGCGAGGGTAACGTGGAATCGTGGACAATCTTAGAGATCCCGTTAACTTTTTTGATAATGAAATCATGCTAATCTTAACATCAGCAGTCATAACAAGCATAGTGTGATAAGCATGGAAATTCTGTATACTTTTTGTGGTTTAGGAGTCCGAGTCCTAGTGTGTCCACGAAAGAGGAGCCTTTTCTCTCTAAGGCTCTGTGTGCCCATACAGAATATACTTTGGCCTTAAAGTACCTATATAGGAACCCCGTAAAGGCCTAAGTCTATACTATATGGGGACATGGAGCTTTAGGGTTGTTGCTTCTTAACCGGTACCCAGGAATGCTTAGAGGCTTTGGCAGCCTTTGGTGGAGATCTGACGGCTACAGACTCCAGCGGCTGGACGGCAGTGCACGCTGCAGCTGCAGCCGGAAAGATCCCGGGTTCTTGTCAAGGAGTTTAATGTAAGTTACCATAGTAAGGAACTAGAGAAAATAATACGGTTTCTGTATTATGATAACTTAAATCCCTTAACAAGAACCCAGGATTCGATCCTTGACGGTTTTCAGTGTCCTTGGCCTTGACTTGAGCTGCAAGACCCCAGAGGGCTTGACGCCGGCCCATTGCGCAGCGATGAGTGGAGCATCCATGTCCTTGCGGATACTGCAGTCTCTGGGGGCCAAGCTGGACGAAGCTGACAGCGAGGGTGAGACTCCTTCACATAAAGCAGCTGCAGCTGGGCATGTGGAGTGTTTGCGTGAGCTTTACCTACTCGGGGCTCAGGCGGATGCTCTTGACCAACATGGCCGCACTCCAGCACACTTTGCAGCTGCCGAGGGAGAGCTTGCCTGTCTGAAATGCCTGCATGAGCTGGATGTCAGGCTAGACACAGAAGATGCCATGGGTGAGACCCCACTGGATAAGGCAGATATCGAGGAGCAAGCAGCATGTGTACAGTTTCTGCAGGACCTTCTGAACTTGGAGCGTGTCACGAACTGAAACTGCTCGGAAAACCCGAAACTTCACATGCTCCAGGGCTGGGATTTCGCATCTAACAGCCACCAGAGCCTTAATGCCCGTGCCGGAAGATGTTAATTGTCGACAGCTAGAGCCCTGGAACCCGCATGTCTTCGGGCTCCAAGCCCCAAAGCCTTCAACCCTGAAGCTTAGATCCCTCGCGCTACCGAAATTTCGAAAGCCCACGACCCCTCCGCCGTGAAGTCCCCCTACAACCCGAAAGCCAATCCTATAATGCCCTCTTAACGGAACCTTTAAGGGCCTCTGAAAGGCGGGGAACCAAACCTTGTATAGAACTCCGAATTGCCTTTGAGCTGTTGGATGAGCCCTGGGGTATTTCGGGGGGTTACTTCCTGACTGTGGCGATGTTGCTTCCGCTCGACCAGTGATACGTTCAGGCGCTATTCCCCCGAGGGTTTCGGGTTTAGGGCGCGCTGCGAGTTATATAGGCGCTGGCCGGCTCCTCAGTCCGTGCTAAAAAGAGGCGCTTTTCCCCATAAGGGTTTCCGGTTTGGGGTTTAGGGGTGTAGTTGCCGTAAGGGTCTTGTCGGCCAATGTGCCATCCCGTGCTACTCGGACCAGAACCCTCGCAGACCTCGTCCCAGTTGCGAGTGCCGAATCCCTTACAGGCACCTTTCAAGCAACCTTAAGCCATCAAAGAAACCCCTACAAGGAGCCCTTAACAAGGATCCTCCCTGGAGGCCTGCGCCCAGAAGGCCAACGACACCCTCTTCGTCGAGGAGGGTGGCCTTCTAGGGGTACCTGGCCTCGTCTATTGGTAGGTTTTGTTACGGGGTTGTCGAAGGGTGTTTTCTTCGGTTCTGAAAGCGAGGATCTGTAATAGCATTTCCTTCCGGACTTATCCACGTTTTCCTCTAGGAATTTTGTATGGCGAGGGCGGCCAGGATTTCGGGTAGGAGGTTTAGGGATTTGGCGTCAGGGCTTGAGGATTAGCAATCCATGGTTTAGGGCTGAAAGGCCGCCCTTCAAGCCAAACCTGAGAGTTCGAAGCCGACAGGGCTTAATAAAGGGGGTGTTAGTAACTAGAGTTTACTTCAGTGTACCTATATATAGGGACTAGTTAATCATTCCGACCCTTGTGTCAGGCCAGGATCGCGGGTGAAATGGGTTCGTGGGAGATTGAGCATCGATTGTCGTAGCCTGCGACGTTCAGGGGCCGAAGGTATGGTGCGTGGGGCTGAGAGTTATTGTGCTTAGAAGCCCTTAGACCATGCAGGGGTCCGGCGCTAGCCGCTTTCATCTACCCATAGGCCCCATTAGTAGTTCCTTCTTGGGATTTTATAGGATTTTACATATAAACCCAAAAAAGGAACTACTATGGGGTCTTAGGGTAGTCGACGCCCAAACATCGAGGTGGAGCGCGAGGTGGAATTCGAGCCTCCGGAGGACTCTCCAGCTTCGAGACTTGTTCTTAGGTATCCTTCACCGGTTCAGGGTATAGGTTTTAGGGTTTAGGGTTTATGGGTTCCTCGAGGATCCAGACCAACTTAGTTCCAGAGTAAATAAACTTCAACCTGTTTTCTTAGCTGTACTCTCTATCAAGTTCCAAATGAAGTGTTCCTGTTGATTGTAGAGATATCATGTTATATAGTTTCCACAAAGCCCGCTCTTATGACTGGTATCATAGAAACCTTGTAACCAGTGTAGCGTTCGAATTAAAATTATGTCGGGACCTATCCTTTAAAAACATCCTTAAAGCCATGATCCCTGAGATCGCCAGCGTCTCGGAAGGTGCTCAACCAGGGGCAGGTCTCAACCTCAGGTATAGCTATAGGCAAAAGTTATCGTTTTAAACTTCGTGTTTATGGTTTGTAAGGTTTGGGGTTTGATTTCCTCCTTCATTCGTTTCAGGCAGGACCCTAAGTTACGGTTTTGGTGGCTGTTGGAATCGACGCCGAGTGCATTTATTAGCCGCCAACAAAGCCACTCCGCCGGAAACACCTTGGGCCAAAGCCGCGAAGCCGTAACCTGCCACCGAAGCCCCGAAACCCTAAGCCCCTCAATGCCTGAGTCAACCCTTAACATCGACTGCCAGCGGGTCGAGAGCTGTGCGCCGAACGACCCCAAAGCCCGGACGACAGGTCCACCCTGGCATTGAGGACTTTGGCACCCTGAGTCATTACTTTCACTTATCCGAAACCAGGTCAAAACCAGCAAGCCCTAGACCCTAACTCCCCCCCCCCCCCCCCCCAAAGAAAATAGGACACCAGCGAGCCCGCCTTGGATTTGGAGTTAGCTCCTTGGCGGCAGTCGGTCGAGTGTAGAAACAGAGATTCTGAGATACTAGATAGTTGTAGTAAGGAACCCCAAACCAGTATTGGTAAATATATTTAGGCCTCTATGGTAAAAGGGCCAGTAGCAGAGAGGAGGAGACTTTGGGTTCGGTGGAGGTGTCGGGTTTGGGGTTTCAGTGCGACTCCAGTGTCCGGTGCCACAGCAACAGCAAGTACTGCCACTGCCACTTGCCGCGACCACCACCACCACCACCACCACCACCACCACCACCACCACCACCACCACCACCACCACCACCACCACCACCACCACCACCACCACCACCACCACCACCACCACCACCACCACCACCACCACCACCACCACCACCACCACCACCACCACCACCACCACCACCACCACCACCACCACCACCACCACTGCCCCCGAACGGTCAGGGTGCAGGGTCCAGGACGGAAGGCTTTGAAAGGCTCGAGGTTCGATCAGGTTACAGCTGCAAGTCTTCGGCTCTTGGTCCAAGTTGCCCTTGTACCGCCAGGATGATGTTACCGCCGTGGCTTTGGCCCCCTTGGGCGGCGACTTCTTGCAAGGCTTGGGCGCCCAGTTGGCACTGCATGTGTCGCTTGAATGTGCACAAACACGAACCATGGCAAAGCAAGTATGGGTGTGTGCCAGCGTGATTGAATACAAGTAGGCTGGCACGCCTTTAGATGTATGTCTGTATGTATGTGCAGATGTATGTGTATACATATATATAGAGAGAGAGAGAGAGAGAGAGAGACATAGACGTATATACGTACATGTGAACATGCATGTGTCTAAGTGTCTGTGTATATGACTACATACATACACACGTACACACCTACACACACAGCTGTTTGTCTGTCATTTTTCTATCTTTCTGTTTGACTGTCTACGTGTCTGTCTGTTTGGCTGTCTGTCTGTCTGTCCGTCTTTCTTTCCGTCTTTCTGGCTGTCTGTCTGACTGTCTGCCTGCCTGTCTGTCTGTCTGGCTGTCAGTCGCTCTGTGTGCATGACAATCTGGCTTAGGCGCTGGTTCAGGATTTGTTTTTGATGTTAGGGGTTTTGGCTTTGGGGTTCAGGGAGGGTCCTGTCATAATCTGGGGGTCCGAAAAATTTCACATACTTTCAGTCTTGGCTCATACTTCCAATACTATAAGTCATACAGTCTTACGCTAGACCCGCAAACCTACTCCAGTTATTGAGGCCCCAAGCTACCCAAAGGCCCCAAAGTAGTTCCTTTTTGGGGTTCATATATAGAATCCTATGAGGTAATCCCAAAAAGGAACTACTTTGCGGCCTATGGGCAACGGCCAGGTTTCCCCGTGACCTTGGGCTGGAGGAAGAGGCACGCAGCGCACCTCCGTACCTGCACCTGATGTTTCCGAAAAGGTACCGTATTTGGGGGGTCCTTACAATAAGGATCCTATAGTATTTAGGGTACTATATTAGGGTCCCCTATTTTAGGAAAGTCCCACCTGGGTGTTTTTTGTTTAGAGGTTGTCGGGGCCCAGAAAATCGGAACTTAGAGAGCCCTTTAAAGGACCCCTTAAAGGAACCCCAACGTACCCCCAACATATTTAGTAAGGCTACTGTGAATAATAATAAGAACTCATCGGGATCCTGCCGCTGGGCTTGCAAAGAGGATGTTAGACTGTTAGAAAGCCTTGAATTGTGAGATGCTTAGGTTGTGCGCCGCCACTACTATCATGGTTTTGAGTTTTGGGGTTCTGGGCTTAGGGTTTAGGGTTTGGAGTTTAGAGTTTATGTTTAAAGTTTTGGGGTTTAGGACTTGAGGCTGTGCTGGTTTTGGGGCGGGTTCGTCATAGTCAGGTTGTCGCCCTTAGCCTTATTCATCCTCAGCCCTAATCTCCCATCATCGGCATGATGATCGTGTCTCCAGCGGGACCGTCGGTTCGATTTAAACCCCGTAAGAACCCCGGATTTCTGAGGTTGTCAACCAAATTCACAGCACTAAAATCCCAAAGCGGAGCAAATATTGGAAGCCAGGCGTGTGGAAGAGCTGCGCCGGCGAAAGGCTGGGGAGGTGAGCAGACGACTCTGGGTTTAGGGCTATCGGAACACGAGTATTTCTTGATAGGGATGTGAAAATGTGTCGGTTGAAGGCCGAACTACTTGTAGGAGCAACAATTCCAACCCGGAATGTGCGCTTACAGCGGTTTTGTCGCTTTGCAGCCTCAAGCATTGGTTTGCATACCGGCCTTCCATGTCAGGGACAACCACCCGCAAATTAATGGATACAGGCAGGTGAGGTGTGCATATTCAGGTGTATGTGTGTAATACATACATACACACCCGTATATATGTATATACATATGTATATACGTAGGTATAACTATGTATAACTATGTGCACATATCACACGTGTGTATGTACATGTAAATTATGTGCATGCATTTTATGTATATGTACATACGTGTATATGTAGCTGTCGACGTGCATGTGTATACATGTATGTTCATGAAGTTAGTCCTTTAGTTACGTATGTATGCATGTACGTTTGAAAACATATCTACATGCATGCATACAGAGACAGTGGATGCACACATAGACAATCTACTAAGGACGTGCGGTATGGCATGCTTGTGAAGATATGTATGAAAGCCGACTCCATTTCGTCCTGGATTGAGGGATGATCAGTGACAAGGCTTAAGACCCGTCATGTTGCAGGCTTAAAACCCGAT